CCCCCCCCCCCCCCCCCGTGGCTTTGAACAGCGATCCTTAGATCTCAGCCTCCTGAGTAGCTAGGATTACAGGCATGAGCCACTGGTGCCCAGCTATGTTTGATATTTTTTTTAATCAGTGAGAAAGATGGAATGTGTGTGTAGCAGGGAAGAAATATGTGGAAGGAAATGTGTTGTTTTTGTTTTCATTGTGAGGCAAATAAGAAGAAATGGAAGTCATTTGAGTAATAGGATCATGTTAAGACTGATGTAATTGGTTTTTTTCCTTTATTTTTTAAAAATGTGACTAGAGGATACAGTTCACAGGAATGGAGAGTTGTTGCTCTTACAACAAGAATAGGCTTTCAATCAATCAGGAAAATAATTAGTTGAGCACAGTGCTCAGTAGAAGTAAATAGGAAGTATCCAAATAAACATGCAAATTGAAAGTAGAGAGGAGAGCCATGTAGAGACCTATAAGCCCCCATCAAAGTGGAACGCTGGTTTAAGAGAGCTAAGTTCTGTCTAGCAGAGATTGTGAGAAGTCAGTGAAGCCCTACCAGTGACCGGAGTAGAGCAGGAGCTGTAATGTTCACAGTTCAGATTGCTGTCTTCGTTAATCACAGCCTCCCTTACTAGAAACTTCCTTCATTGGCTACGGATACCACGTTGAACTTCTCTTACAGTTAGCTCATGACTTAACAGCATCCTTATTACACACATCCAGTGGCTTTTCGTATCTTCTAGGCCTCTGTTGCCTAGAAGGAATTCATTAACTGACCATTAAAATCAACTTAGGATGCTTAAAAGAAAAACTGCTATGCTTTTGCTTCATCCTAGATCTATTAATTCCTGGTGATGAGATCCAGACCTTGATAATATAAATGTACTTCCAGGTGATCCCAATGTAAAATCGGGTTTCAAATCATTGTGCTAAAGCAATTCACAGGCAGCATTAGCCTTGACTAATCAGAGTCTGTGCTTCTGGCTTTTTTGTTTTGCATATTCAGGCTCTATAATTTTCATAATCTTGTTAATGAGCCATGAGGAAGGACATAACTTCCTTTTATTCTTTTTCTACAAGGGTTTGAGGTACATAATTCATAATATTCATTTTCTTTTGAAGTGGCTTGTCCTTAAATCAGAGTATGAATGATATCAAATACATTTTGTCTTACAATTAAAAATTAAGCTTCATGCTCATTCAACACTTCAGAGTCTGTGGATTGTGATGAGGTTAACTTCACATTAGCTTTTCATCTTTAGTGGTTAATTTAGAAAGCCTGTAGTCT